TGTGTGTGTGTGTGTGTGTGTGTGTGTGTGTGGTGTCTACCCTTCTTATAAATAATATCCTTTTCTGTTTTTTATGTTCTCTGTTTCTGGAACTTCTGGTAATGGGATGTTAAGACTTGTTATTATACATGTTGGAAGTTAAACTCCACAAAGAGGAGAGTAGTAAGTAGAAGGTAAGGTAGCTAAGGGACAAGCTGTATGGCATTGCCAGGTTCTGCAGGGCCTTACAGACCATTATAAGGATGTCATAACCTGTCGTACGTGACTTTTAAAATTGTAGTATTTCTGTTTTTCACCTTATTAACTTTATGTATGTATGTATGTATGTATGTACGTACTGGGGATTGAACTCAGGGGCACTCAACCACTGAGCCACATCCCCAGCCCTATTTTGTATCTAATTTAGAGATAGGGTCTCACTGACTTGCTTAGTGCCTCCATATTGCTGAGACTGGTTTTGAATTCGAAATCCTCCTGCCTCAGCCTTAGCTGCTGGGATTACAGGCGTGCACCACTGTATCTGGCTTACTACATTTAATTTTAATTCTTGATCAGTTGAAAGTTTTAGGTTATGAAATGTCCTCCAAATAGAGATTTATTTGTGTACCAAATAAAGATTTTTATATAGGTTGGTTGAAAAAAATTTTTTAATTGTAGATGGACACAATATCTTTATTTTTATTTATTTTTATTCGGTGATGAGGATCGAACCCAGGGCCTCACACATGTGAGGCAAGCACTTTACCACTGAGCTACAACCCCAGCCCTATAGGTGGTTTTTATAATTATTTATTTTTTAGATTATTATTGATTTTGATTTCCATCTTTGATAATTTAAAGAATGATTACAAAATCATCAAGTTTACCACATTAAGGGAAGTAGTATAATTGCTTCATTGTCAGATTGTGGTCAAGACTATTTTTCCTTTTTGAATTTTTGAGGTGTCCGTGGTCTAAATAGATGATCAATTTTTGTAACTCTTCCGTAGATTTGGTCTCTTCTCATCATATGTCCAGCTGTTTTATCATTTGGTTTATTTGATCTTTCAGGATTGAAATGGTGATTGTCGTCTTTTTAAAAATTTCTATCCAAAGGTTTTTCTTGTATTAAAAAGTTTTGGCCCCAACTACATGTTATGAAGATTTTGATATACATAGGCTTATAAACATTGTATCTTTTATGATCTTGATCATTATAAAAAGTGACCTTCTTTATGCCTCTTTTATAAATGTTCTTTCATTTTGAATTCAGTGGATTTTAAAAAGGTGTTTATACTTGCCTGCTATACTTTTGTCTAACCTTTTACTTTTAACTTCTCAAAGTCTCTATTTTAGGTTTATCTCTTGTAGATCTCATGTAGTTGGATCAAGGTTAGTCTTTTGGACCCAATTTGAGATGCTACTAATCATTTACATTAATGTTGTATATTTGGTTTTATTTCTGTTATATTAGTCTATTTTTGCTGTTGCTGTTACTTGTCTTTTTGCTTGATTTTCATTTTCTTCTTTTAAACTACATGGTTTTATTTTTTCTCTTATTTTGGAAGTTACGTACTGTGTTTCATTGTCTTTTTTTTTTAAATCTGCTTGCTGGATATGAGAATAGGCAATCCTGCTTGTTTTCAAGCTCCATATCAATTTCTATCCTTTCTTTTTTTTTTTTAAAACCATACCTTTGTTTTATTTATTTATTTTTATGTGGTACTGAGGATTGAATCCATGGCCTTGCACATGTGAGGCGAGCACTCTACCGCTGAGCCACAAACCCAGCCTCATTATTCTTAAGGTATCATTGATTTGTTCTATGGTTAGTTATTTTGTATGCCACTAATACGGTTAAATGTCAAAGAAATTATAATACATCTTCAGTTGTAATGTACATGCTGATTTCAGATATATTAAATTGTGAAAAAAGTATGTTTTAGAACAGATGAAGAAATAAGGTAGTTTGTAATTCTGTGGTTATAAATCTATAGCTGTAATGTACTTAAATCTTATTATTTACAAAATAGATTTTTCAGAAGTGGTTGCATCTATGATGTATTGTTACAAGTTTTGAAAATATCTGCCAGTGACTTTCAAAAGTGAAATGATGTTTTGGCTGGTTACAGAATTTTGAGAAAGGTTTCCCTTAATACTCAGTAGACATTGTTTCCTTATCTTCTGGCATCTAGGGTTATTCTAGTGAAGTCTGGGGCCAGCCTGACTGTTTTTTTCCCTTTGTAGGTGACCTACTTCTGCCTGGGTATTGGTAGAATTCTTTCTTTATCCTTGAAGTTCAGTAACTTCATCAGGATATATCTCGGTCTTGGTGTGATTCTCTATTACATTTTCCTGTTACATGGTAAGCCATTTAAACTGTGGACTCAGGGATACTTTCTTATATATATTTTAATATGCTTTTGTTTTTATTTTTCTTCAACAAAAATCAGTTTTATTATTGTTCATCTTCATTTCCTGTCTTCCATTTCATTTTAAAAAATGTTCCTTTGTTCTTTTCTATTGTGCTCTATATAATGCTCTCCATTATCTTTGATTTCATAAATTTGTTTTCATCAATATCAGGTCTCCTGCTTCCTGTATCTAATGTGGTTTTCATTTTGCTATGACTTCAGTACTTCATTCAGTTTTATTTATTTATGTCTGTGAGCTCCCTTTCAACTTGTCTCATTTACTTCCCTCCTTTTAAAAAAGCCTTTTACTTCTTACAGTAGAAACAGGTAAAACCACATTGTTAAAAACAGTTAACAATGGGTTAAAAACAGTTGCAAAGCAACTACTATCAATATTTATCTCCCAAGAACACAAAACAAGTGATTGTTAAATGGTTTTATCACATGCTGTTAGCTGTTGTGTTTTATTAATGGCATGAGATCTGGAAAAGCCTCTTTTTTTTTTTTTTTCAGGCTTTAAATGTACTTTTTTTTTTTTTTTGACAGTTGGATAAACTTCTTTTGTTCCTTTTGGAATCTGTTTTTTCCATATGCTTCTGTGTATGGGAAAGAAGTGTTCAATGACTTTTCCCCTGTTAATCATTGAAAATCTGTTGAGGCAATCTTTTATTCAGTAAGTTACAATGTGGAATAGAGAAAAATTCCTGGAAACCATGAATCAACAGATTCTTTGCCATCCATGTGTACCACAATGAAAAGATTTTCTTCATGAATTTATGCTGAATGCCGATGTTCTTTGTCTTATTCTGAAGAAATGAAGGTAATCAATGACCCATGATCTTCATTCAGGGTTGAAGGAAATAGTGAAAACTGTGACTATAAGCAAGTTGTGATTACCGAGAGTGAGACTTTCACTGTGATCTGTAAAAAAAAAAAAAAGCTGTAAAAATTCTGTACTTTAAAGTAGCTTACCTGTTTAGGGAACAGGTTCTCCCATGAATTTTTCTTTTCTTTTTTTTCTTTCTTTTTTTAAATGATGGCTAGGATACAAGTATTCTTTATGTGAGCCATTATTAATGTTAACAAGGTTATTTCAATAGTCTTACATATTCAGCATGTGCTTATTCCATATTGTGAACAGCTGGAATTTATAGTTCAGAGCTTATCCTCAAAAATTAAAGTTGTTATAAATATTTCTTTGGGTTCTCAAACTGTTTTGCTTGATTGTCAATAATTTGGCTTCCTAAGGTGGTATGTATTTTCAACTAATCCATTAATTCAACTAATACTTACTATCAGACTTTAATAAGTCATGGGATGATATCAGTAAACAAAAATCTAGGCCCTTCCAGAGCTTGTATGATCTAGTTAAAGTCGGGAAGTTAGACAAAATTAATACTATATGGAAAGTAAAATCGAAAGGGAATAAAATAGGGAGCTTGTAAGGATTTGGGGGTTATAATTTATAATAGGGTGACATTTCAATGAGGAATTGCATTAGGTGAGGGAGTGAATAAGCACCAAGGCCCTGAAGTGGGGACTTACTTGAATTTTTTTAGCTTAAGCCCAGAATCAGAAAATTGAGAGAGGTGCTGTTAACTTTGAAGAGCCTTGTGGGCCATCACAGAGAAGAAATACACAACATGATTGGAATTTACATTTTTTACAAGGTTACTTTCACTGCTAGGTTGAGAAACAGACTCAATAAGATTTGACAAAGCACTTCAGTGCACACATTTAAATAAACGTCTATAACTGAAATGAAAGCTTTACCAACAATATCTTTATTTTTATTTTTCTCTTAGTAAAATGAAATGCTAGTTAAATCCCAGTAGATCTGTTTCATGACTGCACAACTTATAGTTGAAAAACACTGCCAAATGAGATACAGTCTCTCATTTAACAGTAAGAGAACAAATTCTTGAGTTGTGCCTTTAATGGAAAACGAACAAAATGTAACCAAAGAATAAAAAATTAAAAATCAGTTTTCTGTGTATATCTAGCTTTAAAAAGTCAAATAATCAAATACCCATAAATCAAAAGGCCTAATAATAAAGAGCCCCATTCCCCAGAAGCAGCTGCTTTTAAAAAACCTTTTTGGTTCAGATCTCCTGGGGGCTTAACTCCATGCTTCTAAATAATATGCTGATAGTGTTTATTTTTTTGGTTTATCAACTTTAGACATTCTCTGTTGACTTCTTGCTATGACAGATGTTTTCAGTCCCACTTCTCACTACTGACCTTCCTCGTTCGGCAGTCACTGACCTGGCGCCTCTCTGGGGTTCTACCCAGAAGATTAGCCTTCGCTGCAGTCCCTCTGTGAGTATTCTGCTCTTCTGCTCCCTCCACTCTGCTTATCAGTTCACATTCTTCCATCTGTCTCCATCTTTCAGAACCATGGGCAAATTACCTAGTATTTTTTTTTTAATTTATAGTTAAAATTATTTTAAATGTTTTTTAAAAATTTATTTACTTAGGTTTTTAGTGGGAAGAAGTGGTATACACATGAACTTATATTAGCACTTTGAACTTGAAGACAAACTAGTAGTGTAGGCCAAAGCTCCCTCTCTTTTTGATCTTTACCTACAGTATTTGTTTTTTCAGTCTGAAATATATTTACACTATTTTATCTTTTTAAGAAATTGTAAAATTTTCGCATGTCATCAGATACTCTTTCCAAATTTTTTTTTTTTTTTTGTATTGGGACTTGAACTTAGGGGCACTCAACCACTATTTTGTATTTTATTAGAGACAGGATCTCAGTGAGTTGCTTAGTGCTTGCTAAGTTGCTGAGGCTAGTTTGAACTCTTTTGATTCTCTTGTCTCAGCCTCCCAATCCTGCTGGGATTAYAGGCGTGTGCCACCTGGCTCAAAGTAATTTAAAATAGATGTATAGCATTCTTATTTCAACTTTTACATTTTTTAAATTATAAATTACTTAAATAACTGCAGATTTTTCCTATGAAAAACAGTTTTGTGTAATAGTTGATTATTTCTCTCAGGATAAATTTTCAGTAGTGGTTATTGTTGAATCAAAGAAGATAAGCATTCTTTGAATTTCTTAATAAATATCATTGATTGCTTTCTAGAAAAGACTTGCTAATTTGATGGAATCAACCATCATTGTAGTAAAATGCCACTTTATACTATGTTCTTAGCATTATTGAGAACTTTAAAAAAAAGTATTTGATTCTGTTAGGTAAAAAGAAAATAAGAGCTGGATGTGGAGGTACATGCCTGTTGTCCCAGCGACTTGGGAGACTGAGGCATGAGGACTGCAAGTTCAAAGCCAGCCTCAGCAATTTAGCAGGGCCCTAAGCAACTTAGCAAGTCCCTGTCTCAAAAAATAAAAAAGGCTGGGGGATGTCGCTCAGTAGTTAAGTGCCCCTGGGTTAATCCACAGTATCAGAAAACAAGAAAAAGAAAGTTTTTAAAGAAAATTACCAAAAGATTTTTACCATTTTGAGTGTTTTAAGGGTTTGTAAGAGCATAATTTGCCTTTTCTTCTTCTCCTTCACCACCTTCTCCTTTTTTGATGGTACTTAGGTATCCAAAGAAGGGACTTGTGCATGCTAGGCAGATACCTTACAACTTAGCTAAATTCCTAGTTTTCTACAGAAAACACAAGAGGTGGCAGGGTGGCCAAAGCCTTTTCATTTTTTGGAGGGAGATGGGTTTGGACCTTTGACATTATGCTCATGCATGCTAGGCAAGCACTCTGCCATTGAACTGCTTTCTTATTATTGTTTTTATTTTGAGATAGAATCTAGATAAATTGAGGAGGCTGGCTTCAGACTTGTGATCCTCTTGTCTCAGTTTCCCAAGTAATCAGAATTACAGGCCTGTACCATTAGATTCCAGCTGACTTTTAGTGTTTTTTTTTTTTTTTGGTGTGTGTGTGTGTGTGTGTGTGTGTGTGTGTGTGTGTGTGTTACTGGGGATTGAAATCAGAGCACTTAACCACTGAGCTACACCCCAGCCCTTTTTTGTATTTTATTTAGAGACAGGGTCTAGCTGAGTTGCTGAGGCTGGCTTTGAATTCTCTATCCTCCTGCCTTAGCCTCTGGAGCTGTTGGGATCATACCATGCCTTTTTTCATTTTTTATGTCTGTTTTTACATGTGGTATTTTTATTTTTTAAATCATCTAATCAATTTGGCTTTCCAGCATTTTCTTTTTTTCTCTCCTTTCTTTCCTTTTTCTTCCCTCCGTCCTCCCTCCCTGGGGATTTAACCAAGGGGGCACTTTACCACTGAATTATAGCCTCAGCCCCATTTTTATTTTTTATTTTGTGTCAGGGTCTCCTTAAATTTCTTTGACTGTTCTTTTGCATTTCTCCTTGATTACTGGGATGACAGCTTTGGCCACCCTGCCACCTCTTGTGTTTTCTGTAGATGACTTAGAAAGATAGTTCTCATTCCTAAAATTAGATAACACAGTGAATATTTTAAAGATAGCTTTGAATTTGAAGGTGTAGGGGTTATGGAAAAGTTTGTTTGAGAAAGTTGACGGCATCTGCTTTAGAAATTGGCCTTTGGCTTGTTTAGAAAATCTATTATGCCCAGCAGCTCCAGAGGCTTAGGCCTGAGGATCCCAAGTTAATGACCAGCCTCAGCAACCTGAAGAGACCCTGACCCAAATTAAATTGTTAAGGATGTGGTTCAGTGGCAAAGCACCCTTGGGTTCAATCCCTGGTACTAAAAGACAAAAAGAAAGAAAATCCAAATGATAATTATGATAAATGATAATTTAGATTTTGGATTATTGCAACCTCTATACGACCAGTCACTTGCCTTGTACCATAGAAGATGCTAAATTATTAGATACCTCAATGAAAGTATTTTATAATGAGTAAAACTTTGTAGAGATGAGATGTAACTCATTGCTCTGGGTAACCTGACCAAACTAGTCTTTCCACTGATGAGTCAGGAGGAATTTCTCACCTTTGGCATAATCCCATTAGAAACTTCTACTAGTTATAGTTAAGGAGGGGGAGATTAATTTACTTAGTGACTAAGGAAACTTTAGTGACATTTAGATATTTATAAGTAGCAACATATTTAAATGCCTTTTTTTTAAGAGAGAGAGAGAGAATGAATTTTTTTTTAATATTTATTTTATAGTTTTCGGCCGACACAAYATCTTTGTTTTTGTATGTGATGCTGAGGATCGAACTTGGGCCTCACGCATGCCTCCAGGCGAGCGCGCCACATCCCCAGCCCTTAAATGCTTTTTTAAAAAAACCCACACCTTAAAAAAACAAAATGCCTAAATGGCAATGTACTAGGCAACATAGTGAAAAAAGTTATACTGGAAAGAAAGAAATTGATTACTCAGATGATTCAATTATTTGAAAAGATCATTATTTTCAATGGTCTTTGAAATCCTTAACTGTAAAAATGTTTTGAATTTGTAATGTATTATAAAGTTCTTGAATTTTAGAAATAATATCTTTTCCTGAGARGTTACTTAATGGTGGAAAGAGAAGAATCTTACTCTGATTTTACCGGATAGAGTTACTTATGGTTTTGGTGCGGTTTTTACTCCCTTTTAAAATAGTGCATTTAAAAAAAAAGTAATATGTATGTTACCCTGCTTGTTTATATAAACATTTCTCATGGTTTTGATGCAGTGTTGTCTTCATTGTCATWTGTAATGCAGCACAAGAAAGAGTCTATCAAAGTGGCAGTCACATTGGTTTCTCATTTAGATTTTTAAAACAAGTTGGCATACTCCTGTAATCCTAGTGATTCTGGAGGCTGACACCAGAGGATCTCAAGTTCAAGACTAGCCTCAGCAATTTAGGAAAGCCCTAAGCAATTTAGTAAGACCCTGTCTCAAAATAAAAAGATGTGAGGATGTAGCTCACTGGTAAAGTGCCCCTGGGTTCAGTCCCTTGTAACCCCCCCACCAAAAAAAAAAAAAAAAAAGGTTGAATAAGTCTATCAGCTGTTTCAGGGTTATCTCATGAGTTCTTGGTTCCTCACAAATAAATTGTTCTGTATCAGAATCCAAAGCTTTGATATAGCAGAATGAATAAGGAAGTCAAGAAGCAAGCATGATAGCATCCTATTATCTTATTTCAGCACCTTCACTCTCACAGTCAGGGTGCAAGGCAGAGAATCCATCCCAGAATCTTAGACATTACTGTATCTTTGTTAGTCAAAATACTGATAATTCATTTGACATTTATTATGTCCACTAACCCACTCAACTCAGGGGAGAGATTTTAGTGTACATAAAGTACTAAAAGTGTTTTTGCAGAAAACTAGCATTCTGGAAAACATAAAATAATTGTAATGGTACATTTGCTTAAAAAATTAATTTGATCTGGGCATGGTGGTGCACACCTGTAATCCTAGTCACTCAGGAGTCTAAGACAGGAAGATCAAAAGTTTGAGGCCAGCCTCAGCAATGTAGTGAGACTTTATCTCAAAATAAAAATTAAAAATGGCTGGGGATGTTGCTCAGTGATAGTACCCTGGGGTTAATCCCTTGTACCACCACCAAAAGAATAAAAAATAAAAAAAAATAATTTTTTTTTTTAGCTTGGTTTGCTTGGTTCACTTCTTCCCTCCCCCTCCCGGTGTCCCTGCCTCCCTCTCTTCCATTCATCCATAATACAAGTTTGGTTAATTGTTTTATGCTGGTTCTTGTTCTGGTTCTCAGTGGGGAGAACCAGACTGACCATCATTATTCTAGTCCAGGCTTTGAGTTACCACTTTGTGAAATGATGGCTTGCAACTTTGGTGGAATTTCATATCATTTCCTAAACTAAGAATTTTGTTTTTGTGATCCATTTGGAGTTACTTTGTGTGTGTAACATGCGGATTGACAGTGTTAGTGTACTAGCACTGTACACAGACGAAAATGGGCCTTTCATCTAGGGAGAAGCTCCACAGAAAGCAAAGGAGAAAGGGTTCCTACAGAAGAAAGAGAAGGGCTTTCTAGGTCATACTAAGGCAAGGAGGGCAAATGTCTCATTGTGTATGTGTGTTTGGCTGGTATGCTTGCTGAATACAGTATTGAGAAATTTTATGATTTGTAGTATGGTGTCATCTTTGGGTGTGGGCCACATCAAAGGCTTAAGGGTGGGATCAGTTGTTCAAGGGGGTAGAAAGACACTTGGCTTCCATCTAGTGTGCTCCACATTTATCTAATTTTCATGTTGTATTCATTCTTTTTGGTTGTAGTAAGATACAATGAAATACATATAAAATAAAATTTACTATTTTAAATGTATGGTTCAGTGGCATTAAGTTCATCCACATTTTTGTACAGCTGTCACCACTATTTTTCCAGAAMTTTTTCATGATCCTC